GGAGGGAGGGACCGAGGGAGGGAGGGAGGGACCGATCTTTGTTGTCGGTTTACAGAGATATCAAGTAGCTGGCAATGATGATAAATTCTAATACAGTTAAACCTGCTAAAACAGCCACCTTTGTATGACCTGTATAAGATAATCACCAGTTAAAAAGTCAACTTGCAACTTCATCTGTGGCGAGTTTTTTTTTGACATTATAATTATGATGTCGCTGTTTGATGTCCCAGCTGTCAAAGACGCTCACTTGTCCTGGCCACCTTGGACAAATTTGACTGTATTTTCTGGAGTTAAAAAAATTAAATCTTTCAGTTAGTGGTTAGGCTACTGGACTCGTTCATGAAATTGCGGGTTCAGGGGTTTCGGGGGGTTCGAGCCTCAGCTCGGTCCATTTGATGTTGTGTCCTTGGGAAAGGCACTGTTCATGAATTTTCCACTTAGCTCGGTCCTTTTGGAGATGGACGTTAAACTCTGAAGTCTGGCCTCTTAAATAACCCAACAGTGTTGATTGGGGCGTTCAACCTATACCCTATCCCCATGGTTTTATGCAACCGCATAATTTAGCAAAATTTGATCATTTTTTTTCTTAATTTCTAATTATTTTCCTTTATCATTCTTTGTTGAAATTAAGAGAATCGCATAATTTCGCATTTTTGGGCTCATTTTGCATAATTTCAGAATTTTTCTTGCCTAAAACGACGGGGGACAGATCTATACCCTATGATCACTTTCACCAGGTAACCCCACTACTCCAGCACCAGCTCGATCAGCTGTGGATGGAAGCTGGGGACACATTCCTTTTCCCGCGGAAGGGCACATTCCAAAGAGAGCTAAGCGAGAGCTGCCCAAACTTCCTGTCGTCCGACCCGAAAGATCTCCCCAGTCTGATGCAGCCACGCAAGTGTACGCGGATATTACTAACAGTGGCCGGGAGTCCAGGTAGATTTAGTTTTTTTTTGTTCATGCAGTGGAGTCCGCTTGGCTGATTCCGTACCCCCCAGGGCAGTGCCACTGACTGTAGTGTCTTTAGGCCATTCCCAAAGGGGGGACATTTCTCATTCAGTCACAGTAGAATTGTAAATGGGCTGATTCACCATGTCGCACTCATAACTGTGCCTGATCTACAACAGGGAACTGCTGCTTTTTCTTTCCTGATCCTTACTATTGTCATTTTCCTCTACTTCTTTTGTATGTTTGTCACTCTATTGTGACCTGCTAATTCCGGGTTGCCTTGGTAGTTGAAGCAGACCTTGTGCTGTTGAAGCTAGAGAGGTGAGCAGAGTAAGTCTGATTCCCTGTAAAGACTTCTTTGTTGACACCCACCCCTTGGCGCTCATATGACCTTATGCAGTTGCGAGCACCGTAAAACCCTCTACTATAAATTTTAAAAACTGATTCAGTCCGCTAATAATTTTGACTCCGGACGCAAATAATTTGTGACTGCTTTTTTTACCTCATGGGTGGTCTCACAAAAAGATAATGAAGAAATATATAAATTTAATAAGACCTGTATGTGTGACATGACAGAGACAGTCTTTATTCATTTCGCTGGGAGAAACATGTCTTGGTCGTTAACAATGGCAGTAGATGTTACAAAAGTTAGACTTAAAGTTCACTCACGCAAACGCACAACAAGACAGGACATTAGGCCAAGTAAATACATTTCTCACGTGCTGGGACAACCCGCTCCGTAAAACATTCTCTCTCTCCCTTTCTCTCTCTCTCTTTCTCTCTCTCTCTCTCTCTCTCTCTCTCTCTCTCTCTCTCTCTCTCTCTCTCACTCTCTCTCTCTCTCTCTCTCTGTTTCATGTGTAGCACTGTGTGTTCAGTAACCTCATTGCAGTTGGTACGAATGAATTTCTATATCTGTCTGTTCTTGCTTCTTTGGAAATGTATCGTTTACTGCGGGTCGATAGTTGAAATTCCGATGTCAGTGGGTGACTATGGTCACTAAACATTATTTCCGCCTTTTTAAGAACGTTTGTCTTGTGCAGATATTCAAAGTTACTTAGGTCTCTACCAATTGTTCTTGATGCCTTTCTTATCAACTTGTTTATTTTTATAATGTACTGCCTTCCCAAATTGCTACCATAGCAAGTAGGGCCTATATAGATAAAAAAAAAAAAAAAAAAAAACTATTCAGTGACACCAATTTAAAAAAAAGGATTGAAATGTAAGTGGTCAGGGAAAAAGGAGAGAGAAATGTGATGTGCAGAAAGGTAGCAATATATCAGAGCTGCTCAGAGCGCGTCTGTGTCAAGACACATGAGACAGTGGGTGGTTGGCAGGTGCTCTGGTGTGGTTTGCTTCTTCTTTCCTATCAAACATCTATCGTCCTTATCTCCCCTCCTTCTTTTTTATTGTTTGTTACTCTCTTGTAACACCTCTAATCTTCTGCCGCTCATATGACCTTATGCAGTTGCGAGCGCCGTAAAAGCTCTACTAAAACAAACAAACTCGTGAAACAGCAAGGCACTGTGAGCAGCGCTGCCGTTTAAATCACTTAACTCTATCCGTACGCCCTGGGGTCATGAAATTTTAGTGATTTTAGTAAGTTACTGTGACAACTTTTCCCGTTTAGGAACGAAGGAGTTTCAATAAAAAATACAAACCAATGCACAAAAGTTGTTAAAATGCACAAAAATGTACAAAAGTTTTTTTAATGCACAAAATTGAGGTAGCCAACCCGATATCGGTGGTACTAATACTGAGGGTAATTTTTCATTCACAAAAAAAAAAGAAGTTTCATTGAGATATCTAGATTCTAGATATTAATAGTGTTTCACGTGATTGTCAGGCATGGCAAGCAGGGGGGTATGGAATAAAGAGCGGGGGGTGGGGGGGGGGGGGTGCGCGCGCAAAAAAACTGAAGATTAATAAGCGCGGGGGAGACGCTTATTCGATACTTTAGAGTATCATGAAACACAGTAAGTGCCGTAACGTGCTCATGTGTAAGGTTTTATATGAACTTGCTGTGCAGAGACGATAGGCAACAGCCAACTGAAGGTCAAACAACAGACAGGACATTTGCTATCCTTGGGTCAGGAGGTCAGGAGGTCAACAGGCCAATACCTAGTGTGTAAGCCCTTTGCTGTCTGTGATAAAGGCAGCGCAGGTTGGCTCTCCGTTGTAAGATCTGGAGTCGTCAAGTTTGAAGAAAGGCGCATCAGAAATAAAGAATGGAGACAGCAGCTGAGAAAAAGACAGAGAGAGCCCTACCTTCCAGCCTAGTTCAGCCCCAAACATCCCCTGCCCCCCACACTGCAAACAGACATATCCGAGTGAAGATCGGCCTGATCAGCCATCTCCGCACACACCCCACCCCTTTAGTGATATGAGGTCAAGGTCATCTTCGCCAGCGAAGGGCGAACACATGTGATAGAGGCAGGCAAGCAGTCCATAGCCTCCTATCAAACATCTATTGTCCTTATCTCTTCTCCTTTGTTATGATGTTCTCTAGTAATACCTCTAATCTTCAGCTCTTGAACGACCGATTTGTATTGCAGGTGCTGTAAAACTCTTACTAAAACAAATATGACGCACCATGGTGAAATCAGGCGCTCGTCAAAATATCGAAATCGAAGATCAACACATTTTTTCGCGAGTTTGGCAATTTTTATCAATTTTTTGCTTTTTGGTTCAGTACCGTTATGTCTATATTATGAATACACACATCTATGTGAATTTTACTGAAAAACATTGATTAAAGGCACATCTTATGTAGATTTTCAGTTTTCAAGGAGTCTCAAGATACTGAAGTTGCCAAAATTTGGTGGCCATTTTCTCACTAATTTTTCCTCTGAAATCAGGCAACCCCCATCTCCTTCAGTTGCAAATATCTCGACTTCTTTTCAAGATACATATTGGGTTGTTTTTTTTAATTGAGAGCACAGTGAATGAACGAGCTCTCAGATGATAAAAATAACGCCACATGCCCCAAAATTGATGAGTGCCTAATTCCACCGTGTTGTGACACATATGCTTATGTTAATCATCTTTTCTTTACTAAAATCTTTAATCTACAAGTACGTTTTCCATTTTTTTTTCTGTTTTTCAGACACAATTCTGGCCCAGCCATGGGGACCACGCCCACACACCATGGCCCGATGCCTGTGATGGAGAAAGGAGAGAGGCAGGCAGATGAAGAGGAGGAGGAGTACATGCGAATGTGTAGGCCTCCTCCTCCTCCCAGGCCTCACCTCACGAGCCGAGACATTCACATTGGTTTGAACGAGGATCTTGTCACGCGGCTGACTTATGTGAATGTAGGTCAAGAGGGAGACATCTCGGCTAGTAGTAGGCAGCGTGACAGGCATAGTGTTGGCGAGAGTTCGAGACCTGCTGCGGGGAGAAGAATTTTGAAGCAGACTTATCCACTCTCGCTGACAAGACCAGATGCCAAAATGATAGATATGGCTGGTGGCGCCCCAGTGACAAATCCTGGCGCCTCGAATCCTGCAGATGAAACCTCAAAGACTGACGTTGGCTCCTCGAACATTGGTCTCCCCGAGCACATGAAAGTCCGCCACGCTCCAGCTTTCCGACGTCGGACAGAGACAGGGACAGGTGTTGAGAAAGATGGTGATCATTGTTCCAATTACGAGGACATCTGCTTACCAGCATGGGCCAGAGAGCTGAAAAGCAGAAGCGGATGCAATCCTTCTGCTGAAAGGATTTCATCGTCCCAAGATAAATCAAAGGAAGAAGACATTGCTGGCGTCAATAATGCAAGGAGTAAATGCGTTCTGTCGGAGAATGTTCACACAAGTGAAGGTGAGCAAGAAAGTGTAGACCAAAACGACAATTTTTGTGCTAACTTACTGGACTGTGACTTAGTGCACCCCTCTGAGAGTTTAATGAACACTGACCACCACAAAGTGTCTTCCTTACCGTCACTGCCTGGCTCGAGTGGCTGTACAAGTCTGCGCGGTGGTGAGCCCGCTGTGGATTTAGATGGCACCTCGGACAGCAGCTTCATGCTTTGTCTCCGTTCAAGTTTGGATGTGGGCAGCCGATCTGAAGTCCTGGGGACGTCCCACTCTTTGAGTTTACGCCCTGATGTGAATCCTCTAAATTTGACTTTGGCCTCGGCAGATGTTCACTTTAGCCCACAGGATGCAGGTGCAGTTAGTTTCAATGAATGCTCTCGTGATATAGAGAACTTGAAGGAAAGACTTCCGGCCTGTACTGTTCCCAAGAGAGTTGTAAGTTCCTCGAGGGACTCAGAAGATTCTGATGGATCTGGTCACCGCAGGGGAAGTGGCAGTGATAGCCCTGACTCCTTGACCTGTCTGAAAACTTGCGGTTCTGGTCAAAGCAGGGGCAGCCCTGACTCCATGACCCATCTGAAAGCTTGCCGCTCTGGTCAAAGCAGGGGCAGCCCTGACTCCATGACCCATCTGAAAGCTTGCCGTTCTGGTCAAGGCAAGGGCAGCCCTGACTCCATGACCCATCTGAAAAGTTGCAGTTCTGGTCAAGGCAGGGGCAGGGGCAGTGATAGCCCTGACTCTCTGACCCACCTGAAAGCTTGCGGTTCTGGTCCGCAGGCTGAAGGTGGTGAGGACATGTTAGACGGCGCTCCCTTACAAGTCACGGAAGCGTTGTCTCTTGTCCCGCCAGTTTTACCTTGCCGGGACGGACAGAGGAGCTCAGGGTCGCGTATAAATCTAAACTCACCGGGGGATCCGAAATGGCCACAGTACACTGCTCCGAAAATGAAGAGTACGCCTCATGAGAATGTGAGGAGATGTACAGATGGGTCGACGAGAGAGGACGCTAGTTTGCTGTGTTTTCCTGCAGCTGCTTGCGAAAGCAGGGCCGCCGCTGTATCAAACTTGGAGAGATGTTCCAGTGCTCCCCGGGCCATCTGCTCGGTACAAGCATGGAGCAATGAGCTCAACAGGCCGCAGAGGGTCCATTCTGTTAGGTGCAAGCCTCAGACAAAAGTTCAGTTTGACTGGAATATCGTGCAGAGCTCAAACCTCAACTCAATAGCGGACTTGAAGGATTGTGTTGACAGCAATACAGACTCCAGCTCTTCCAGTTCAGTAGAGACCTCTCTATCTTGTGGCGTAGTGACCCCTGAATCTCATAATGTAGCGACCCCTGAACCTCGTAATGTAGTGACCCCTGAACCTTGTAATGTAGTGACTTCTGAACCCCGTAATGTAGTGACCCCTGAACCTCGTAATGTAGTGACCCCTGAACCCCGTAATGTAGTGACCCCTGAACCTCGTAATGTAGTGACCCCTGAACCTTGTAATGTAGTGACCCCTGAACCCCGTAATGTAGTGACCCCTGAACCCCGTAATGTAGTGACCCCTGAACCTTGTAATGTAGTGACCCCTGAACCTCGTAATGTAGTGACCCCTGAACCTAGAGATGAAGTGATCTCTGCACCTTGTGACGTCATTTTGTTAGAAACAGGTTCTTGTATAACTTGCCCACCTCATGTTTTGGATGCCTTGAGAAAGTAGAGTTCTGAAATGTACATTGCATATCGGCATCTGTGGTGTAGCAGCTGAACACTTTACCATCACAGGCAGAAGACGTGAGGTCCTGTTTTGACATCCCATGTGTGTCAGTTTGCTGCTGCAGGTGTAACTCGCTGCTTTCTCAATTTTTTCACCCAGCCAGGCATCCTCAGTCTACTTCGTTTTTACCCCCCGGGGCAGTGCCACTGACTGTAGTGTCTTTAGGCCATTCCCAAAAAGGGGACATTTCTCGTTCAAGCATAGTAGAATGGTAAATAGGCTGACTCATGTCACGCTCATAACTGTGCCTGATCTACAACAGGGAACTGCTGCTTTTTCTTTCCTGATCCTTACTATTGTCATTTTCCTCTACTTCTTTTGTATGTTTGTCACTTTCTTATGACCTGCTATTTTGGGGTGCCTTGATAGTCGAAGCAGACTTTGTGCTGTTGAAGCTAGAGAGGTGCGCAGTCTAAGTCTGATTCCCTGTAAAGACTTCTCTGTTGACACCCACCCCTTGGCGCTCATATGACCTTATGCTGTTGCGAGCGCCGTAAAACCTCTACTATAAAAAAAGCTACTATATATGTGTCGTGTGACATTGTGTGGTCAGGACGTATGTTGGTGTGTGGAGTGCGATAGGCTTTTTTGACTTCTGTGAGTCATATTTCTGTCCCCGTGGTTTTATGCACCCCGCATAATTTAGCAAAATTTGGTCATTTTTTGCATAATTTCTGATTATTTTCCTTTATCATTCTTTGTTAAAATTAACAGAATTGCATAATTTCATATTTTTGGGCTCAGTTTGCAAAATTTCCATTCAAAGCTTATTAAGAGTCCTTGGACACTGCAAATTTACATTTTGTGTGCTTTTGATCAATGTTTGTTCAGTATAATCTACACAGGAATATATATATTTTTACTTGGTCATTTATAATGATATAAAGTTTGTCTGGGCTTTCAATCAAAACATTATTCATGGCGATTTTATTTACATTACAAAGAAACAAATATAGTAATGATATATTTATATATATAATATTATGAAATAATACTATGATGAAATAATCTCTTAAAGGAAATACATGTAATAAATGTATCACGGCATGATGGAATCAGGCGCTGGTCAAGTTTTGGAAATACGTATAAAGTATAGAGTTATTAGTGCAGCCTGTTCATTTGTCTTGATTTTGACGGGGAAAATACCCATTTATCTTGGACAGAAGTCGGATTATCTGAACATTTGTATATATTTAAGTGTATGATGTTCACTTATTGTGCCACCACATTGACACATTTTCAACGTAGCTTACAAATATTCGGCATCAAATCTGGTCAAGGGACTAAAACGACAACAACAACAACAACAACAACAGCAACAACAAATGCTTAGTGACCATAGCCACCCACTGACATCGGAATTTCAACTATCGACCCGCAGTAAACGATACATTTCCAAAAAAGCAAGAACAGACAGATATAGAAATTCATTCGTACCAACTGCAATGAGGTTACTGAACACACAGTGCTACAAATGAAAGAGAGAGAGAGAGAGGGAGAGGGAGAGGGAGA